GCTGTTAATCTGGCAGCCGGAAAAGATCAGTTCAGTTTCATTACCAGATGGAAACTGCTCCTATGGTGTTTGTCCTTTTTTGTTCTCTGATATTTATTCTGCTGAATAAGTATTCTCTTTTTTACCCTCCAACACTCTTCACCCCTACATCATCTTGCATCAAATAGACAAATAGAACTTGAATAAATAAATAAATATTTTTTTCTTTTTTTTGCCCATCAGACGAATTAGACTTGCCCGTTAGTCGTTAAACTATTTAGCTAATAAAGTTTGCCAACTTTACTGCGCCGCTTCAGTGAATGCTGCAGTGCAGGAGAATGTTGCTAATTAAATAGAAAGCAGGTAGAAAAGCAGCCAAATTGCATTAGCCTAGAAGTCAGGATGCTAAAGGTGCGTGTAATGGTGCCCAGTGTTAGCTAAGGCTTTCTCTCACTTTCTCCCGACACATAATCGAAAAGAAGTACAACAACAAAAGCAGAAGCTGTAAAAGTACATCCTCGCACGCACACACACTACCCTACTACTATATACCGGGACCAGCCAATATTGGGCAGCAATCCCGGCCATTGCCCATTATTGGCGACGCCAAAGTGCTGTACAATGGCTAATGCTGCTGCTGCTGTCGTCCTAGCTTTAGCATTCCCACTTCACCTTCCTCTATTCTCTTCTTAAGTTAATGCTGCTCTTGCTCCAGCAAAACACAGCAAACACAGACAGAGAGGGGCCAAAGCAAAAGCTAAAGTGCGTAAAGGCAGACTCGGTGCAGGGCACACACACTCCAAAAGAGCTCTTTTATGCAGGTTTTGCTGTCTGTCTGGTGTAGTCTGGTGTAGTGCCGCCGCCGCCGCAAATTAGCCTCGTCTGGCCCTAAAATGTGGGAGAAAAGGAGAGAAAGTGAAGAAAACAAATAGAACGCTGCACTTGAAGGAAGAAATTGGTTGATCAATCGCAACCACAGAAACAGCAGCAGAAGAAGAAGAAGAAGAAGTGCCAGCATGTTATCAAGTCATAGAGAAGTATCTTCTTNGATAAATCGCAACCACAGAAACAGCAGCAGAAGAAGAAGAAGAAGAAGTGCCAGCATGTTATCAAGTCATAGAGAAGTATCTTCTGATTACTACCACCACCATCACCACCACCACTGGTCCTCTGGTGGTGGTGAACATATCAGCAACAGCAGCAACATCACCAGCAGATATCATCAGTAGACGAACACTTCTTCACCTTATCACACTTACTTCAGACCCATCACCTCACAATGGCGCTACCTCGAAAACCTCCGCTGCTCACCCTTTTTCTTCTTCTTTCTCTTCTGGTGGTCCTGATCACCACTTTAACCTCTCACCTGGTCAGTGGCCACTGGTCAGGCCTGGCCTATGGCTGTCCGGCCATACAGCTGATCAAGCCGTGCACCTGCACCGAAATTACTCGCGGCCTGGAGATAGTTTGTGAGGGTGAGTTCTGTTGTACGAAAACTTCTTTTTCAACCTCCTTCTCACCTCTGGTTAGGAGTTCGCCTAGACGCCCTGCGCGAGGTCTTTGAGACGGTGCAGCAGACCCGGCAGACGCTAATGTACCTGAAGATGAAGAACAACCACATGACCGCCTTTCCCGCCCACCTGCTCAGTCGCATCGACATCCGCCACCTGATGGCCCACAAGTGCGGCATCGAGACGGTGGACCAGGCGGCCTTTGCCGGACACGAGGAAGGCCTTGAGACGATTGACTTCTCCGACAACAAGTTCAGCCAGGTAAACAAAAAACAACAACAAATCTCAATCTTAGCAATCATCTAATCAAAACCGCCCTATTTCTACCCTTCTAGATCCCCAGCCTAGCGCTTCGCAACCTGACCGGCCTCGTCTCGCTCAACCTCAACTTCAACCTGATCAGCACCTTGGAGGCAAACGCCTTCACCGGCCTCGCCTCCCTCCTGCGCCTCTCACTGTACGGCAATCGCATTGTCACCGTCTCCCCGGCCTCCTTCCTCGGCGTGGGCGTCAACCTGACGAGGATCAACCTGGGCGGAAACCAGCTAGCCACGGTGCCCACCGAGGCGATTCGCCCACTGATCGCCTTGCAGCGACTGCAGCTCCAAGAGAACTCCATTCGAGGGCCGTTGAGCAGCGGCGACTTTGCCCGCCTGGGCTCGGCCGCCAGTCTGGACGTGCTCAATCTGGCCAACAATGAGATCAGTCGGCTGGAGGAGGGCCTCTTTGCCGGCCTGGAAAGCATCAACTCGCTGGACTTTGAGGTGAATCGCATTGCAGTGATTGATGACGCCGCCTTCCGTGGTATTGAAGGTATTTGGGTGTTTGGATTTATTTTGTGCACTTCAATTTCATTGATCTTTTGTTTTGTTTTTAGAGACACTGGAATGGCTCAAGTTGGGCGAGAATCAGCTGACGGCGGTGCCGCACGCCGCTCTGGCCAATCTGACCAAACTTCGCGAGCTAGACCTTCGCGGAAATCTAATTAGCAAGGTGGGGGCAAAGGACTTTGCCGGCTACGGCGTCAACATCAAGTTTCTNGTGCCGCACGCCGCTCTGGCCAATCTGACCAAACTTCGCGAGCTAGACCTGCGCGGAAATCTAATTAGCAAGGTGGGGGCAAGCGATTTTGCCGGCTACGGCGTCAACATAAAGTTTCTCTACCTGCAGAAGAACCGGTAATCATCAGTGTACTCTGCTTATCTCTCTCTCTTTGTTTTTACATCTTATCAAATCTTATCACAGCATCGACAGCATCGAGGCGGGCGCCTTTGACCAGCTGCACTCGCTGGAGTGGCTCAACTTGCACTCGAACCAACTGAAGCACCTGCCGGCGGTCGTCTTTGAGCGCGCCCTCAGCAAGATTCTCATTCTCGATGTGCATGGTAAGGAGTCAAAGTTTAAAGAGATTCTGGTAACCGATAATTCTATATACAACCTCAGGCAATCCACTGGTCTGCAGCTGCTCCCTTCGCTGGTACCCAAAGTGGGTGCAGGCTTCGGGAGGAAAGAATCAAATGGCGCTGCTCACACAGGACGTCAGCTGTACGATGGCGAGTTCGGGGGCTGCCGAAGAATCGGCCCCGGTGAAGTTGGCCGCCCTCGAGGGCTCGCTCACCTGTGCCGCCTCCAATGCCCTCTCTCACTCTGCTCTGGGTGCTCTCCTCCTCCTATTCCTCCTCCTCACCCTCGATTCGGTCCTTCCGTTGGTCTTGTTCTGCTGAAACCGTTTTGGCTGACGTACAATGGTACAATTGTGGTGAAGAGAATTCGAAGAAATCGCATGCGTGCTATTGTTGAGAGTGCACTGGTTGGCAAACAGACAGACAGACAGACAGACAGACAGTGCGCACACGAATCCTACGACTTCCGATCAGTTTGCTGTTCTATTTTCTCCTCCATTCCCTCCCCCAAACATCGCTTTCCCTCCTTCTCTCTATCTTTGCTCTTCGGCAGATGTGCTGGTCAAATCTGCTGCTTCAGCAGTG